TTTATATACTAAAAAAGAGGGCGTCCTGAACAAACTCGGTCTTCCCCGATAATCCATGATCCTATAAATTACAGTGGTTCACACACTTTACTGTTCGCTTGTCTCAATTATCTATATCTTCAATCTATCTGCATATCTATCTGTCGCTGGCTTTATTTGCCGGGCTTATATACTAAAAAAGAGGGCGCCTGACAAACATTCGGACATTCGCGAGGTTCCTCGATAAGTCATGATCCTTCTAGAAACTCCAGCGTGCATGCTCCCAGTGTCGCGTGACTTTCGCTGTGGTAAAAATACCTTGCAGAGACAATTTAGAGGGAGGGCTCAGATCCAAAGAGATCTGGTATGAGGTGACGGGAGTGGACGAGAACGTGACCATTCGGTCATAGCACAATAAAATAGTAAAAGGGAGTCTTTAAAAGAGTAACATTGCTAAATTTATTCTCTGTAGATTTAGTACAGTATATGTAATGCACAATTGATGACGTAGGTGTAATGATTTGTGTTACTTCTTTTAGACTTCATCTTGTATATATATGTGTGTGTGTGTGTTATTTTTTAAGCATTTGTATAAATTTTTGCACAAATTATCAAATAAACCCGAATGAATTTTATTATATTTATGTCATACAGCTTCTTAATTATTTCCATCCACTTTATTTAAGAACGTTGGATGTTTGGAGGTTCAGATACATAAATTACTGTTGCGTCAGCGATTTCACGTGACTAGTATCACGCCACGTCCTTCTCGGGAGACTGCTAGATTGGGGTAGTCTGGTATATGTTGCGTCATCGAGTCACATGACTACTGTGACGCAACGTTTCTAGAACTATCATGTACTTTGGCGAATGTTCTAGTTCTTACTAGATATAGGGTAGGCTGGTATATAAAAGAGGAGAATGTAATGTCTGGGTAGATAGTGAGTAATTGAACTGCAGTTAGAGAGCACGAGAGACGTTACAGCGTTTGTTTAGCGCGATTGTTGAAGTTGGGTGTATTGGTAAAGTTATATTCGGAAATAATAAACCAGTTTTATTAAGAAAGAACTTGTGTCGCTTAAGTTTCGTCGGAACGAAGTTACGGAAAGTTAATTAACAAACGGAGACGTAACATATATATAAGACGCTCACAACGTGACGGAACAAGGTAATGAGAGTGTGTAATTGAACTGAGTATTGTTGAAGTCGAGCACGTGAGACGTTCGTTGAGAATTATAGCGCGACTGTTGAGATTAAGTGTATCGCAAAGTTATATTCAGAAAGAAAAAACCAGTTTTATTTAAGAAAGGACTTGTGTCGCTAAAGTTTCGTCGGAACGAATTTACTGAAAATTAACTAACGAATGGAGACGTAGCATTACATTCTTCCCCACCCCCACAAAAAGGACATGATACAACACCCCTTGTCCATTGGCAACAATGTATATTTTGAGATGTATATTTTTCTGTGACACATAATAAACACCGAGGAAAAAGAAGAGATTTTAATTTTAAGATTTCCCTCTGGGTTAAAATCCAATGCATTTTTCATATGACAGGTCAGATACATGTGTTTTGTGAATGATTTTTGCACTAGTTTCTAAGTTAAAATCAGGTTTAGATCATCTTGGCTTGACAAATGTATTAAAACCAAATAATAAAATTATCCAAACGTCTAGTTTAGATGGGAAATGGCCATGAGATGTGAGGTGATATTGCCTTGCCATTGTCAGTTCGACTGGCGGGCTTTGAAAATTCAACATGTAGCAATGGTGGCTGCTTACCAAAAATTACATGACTTCCAATCTAGTGTTATTTATATTCTATATTCATGGCGAAGATGTTGAATTATTACATATTCTTCTTTGCTTTCATTCATAAGTTTTCTTAGAAATAATACTGTCAACAAGTTCTGATGTCAACGTAAGTTCAACACTGAATTGCACAATGTAATATTTTACGTTGGTTCTGTTATAGTTACATGCTTTCAGAAGAGTTGGAATCCGCACAACGTTGGGAGATAAATTCAGTAATATATATATTTAAAAACATAACTTTGAAATCGAAAAAAAAAACATTTTTCTCTAGTGACGTTTGTAGCAACTGCATTCGTTAGGTTTAATATTGTGCTTTCACAGTGACTTCATTCTGTCGTTACAAGTTAAATGAGAGAATGCTAATGGCTTGGCTGATTAGCATTACAAACCTTAAGTTAGTTTATGGAGTTACGTCGCTAAAATCCTGGACTCGATTCCCCGCGGGGGTCACAGCAGAAATCCTAATGTGGTTTTGCTCCAAAACAAAAAAACAAACGTTTAATTATATTTATCTTTTAAGACAGGAAATCTCAAACTGTGGTACATGTAACAATAGTAGTACGTTGATGTCCGAAAAAATATTTAAAAATTATAACATTTGTAACAAGCCCAATTTGAGTTTCTTGTGTACATGTAGACTACTCTCCTTACATCTGGACTCACCCTACGCCTTCATAGTCTCGCCAGTGTTTACTTTACATCGAATTTATTTTAAAAAACGCACCATATATTCTTCACTTGTGTCAGAAAGAACAATCATATCCTTTCCATTTAATAGTTAAAATATCAAATTGTTGTTACAAGGTTTTCTTTTCTTTTTTTAAATTAGGCCTGACTGCAGAAAAAAGTTTAAACAAACAACTGGTACATGAGCCTGAAAAATCTGAGAACCACTGTTTTGAAACATTCCTCTCAATTAGTCCATTATAAATTCATATCTACCACTTGTGTGCACAGGAATATTTATTGTTAAATAACAGTATTCATCCTAAAGGCCTAATTCAGGTGAATATTGCTAAAAATACATGCATTCAAATATAAATTACTATACGATTGTTGCTGTTGGATATTTTTAACATAAAATTAAGAAAAAATATATTGTTGTAAACAATATTTTTTAGTTATTCAACTTATAAGCAAGCTAGAGGACACATGATGTTAAAGTAGGCCTAGAATGCCTAGAATGTTCTAAATTTGATGTCAAGAATCTAGTTAATTCGAGGAGCATCAAGAGATGAAAGTATATTATAAATAGTAGATGGAGTACCCGCCCCCTGGGCGGAAGTTATGTAAATTCATGATTAATGAATGGTTATATTGGGACATGAGAGGTTG